TAGATAGATGATAGATAGATAGATAGATAGATAGATAGATAGATAGATAGATAGATAGGTAGGTGATGGAGACTATAACCCCAGCTGACCTAGAACTCACTCTGTAAACAGGCTAGTTTGAACTCAGAGATAGCCCTGCCTCTGCCTCCCAAGTGCTGGGATTAAAGGCGTATTTCACCACTTCCTGTTTCTATTGTACTTTTTTTTTCCAGAATAGAAAAGTGGGAGTTGATTTATTTTCCTGTGCTGGAGACTGAATCTAGGGCCTCCTGAATGCTAGACAGTACACCACTGCTACTGAGTTACATGCCCAGTCCTAGACAGTTCTTCTACAGATCTTGTTTATTATTTTTATGTGTGTGAGCGTTTGCCTGCATGTGTGGAAAGCGTGCCATGTTTGTGCATTGCCCACAGAGGCCAGAAGAGGGCACTGAGCCCTCCAGAACTGGAACTACGAATGGTTGTGAGCCATCATGTTGGTGCTGGGAATCGAATCCAGTTGTCTGTAAGGCCATCTCTCCGGCTCCCCTATGAAATTTTGTTTTAATGCAACTGGGTAGAAAATATCAGAGCACATTTCACATAGTGAAGCCAAATACTACTTCACAGAGTGTTTACTATCATCAAGAAGAATGTGTTTCCTCCCTACACATGACAACCATAAAGTTCAGAACACACTGATTCGAGACAGGTGATTCCAAAACCCTGGCTGCCAACCTGGTTCTTTCCCATGTGTCATTTCAGAGTGTCTTTCTAGACAGACTGCCTTCCACAACCAAGCAAATACAGGCTCGAATTCACAATTCTCCAACACACTCCTCTCACACACTTCAACCTTGTCTTACTCTGTGCCTGTCTCACCTGGCTGGGCAATGGAGCTCCAGGCCTGTTCTCTGTGGATGGCTCCATCCACCCCAGTCTTCATTCTTTGCTCATGCTGGGCTTCTGAGCCTCCCTCCCACCCCCACCTGTGCCCAAGGATCATAGCCCTTTCTTTAAGACCTCTTCAGATGTCCTCTGTAAGCCAAACAAACCTTTTCCTAAAGCAGCTCCCTCCTCACCCTTAGAGCCCCTAGTGTGTGTCTCCGTGCATGCTCTCTGTCTTCCTTGAAGCCCACAAGCTCCCTTTCTCTGCACACATGATCCACAGAACTTCCCAGTGGTACTCGGCATGGAGTGAGTACTCAATGTACAGCAACCACTCAGAGTATAGAACTCAATGTACAGCAAGTACTCGGTGTATAGTAAGTGCCCGGGGTATAACAAGTACTCAGTGTACAATAAGTGTTCAGTGTATAGTAAGTACTCAGTGTACTCAGTGTATAACAAGTACTCAATGTATAGAGAATACTCAGTGTCTAGACAGTACCCAGTGTATAAATAGTACTCAGTGTATAATAAGTGCTTGGTATATTATAAGTATACAGTGTACAGCAAGTACTCTGTATGACAGTACTCAGTGTATAGCAAGTACTCAGTGTATAAAAAATACTTAGTGTACAGGAAGTATGAAGCAGACATGGGAAGCCAAACACATCACAACTTCACTCCTTCTTAGTCATTTCCTCCCAAGCCACAGTGTTTGGCTTCTGCTGCAGAGAGATGGTGCTCACTAGGCCACCACACAGCTCCATTTGTTTCCTAATGAGGTGCATCCCTACAATTTTAGTAGCTTATGATAGTCCTTGTCAAAAGTGCCCATTGCTCAACCCAGGGAAAGGCAAACGGTTATAGATAGATAGATAGATAGATAGATAGATAGATAGATAGATGATTGATATAGATGATTGATAAATAGATAAATGATTGATAGATGATAAATACATGATTGATAGAAGATAGATAGATAGATAGATAGATAGATAGATAGATAGATAGATAGAT